CATCTCAATTTATTCTTCCCGGCAGCTTTAGGGCCTTATCATTGCAGCATATACCAAATAAGGTATATCTGATATAGGAGTCATCTACTTATCAGATCTGGCAATTACGTAACACGATCCATGTACTTAAAAAGGCTTTGCACAGAGAATCTGATAACCTTCTTTATCTACAACTTTTTTTTTTGAAAAAAAAAATAGAACATTATATCACATACTCTCACAGTTTACACCAAATAATCATGTCTGAAATGCACGAACACGACTATGACTATGAGTCACTTCCGGATAACTCTTCCCTTAGCGTGAACTTGATAGCGGGAGCACTGGCTGGAATAGGAGAGCATACAGTAATGTATCCAGCTGATAGCATAAAGGTGAGTTTTTAGCGTAAGAACAAACCTACTCGTATAAAAGCAGTGAACGACATGATAAACCATGAATACAAATGCAGAAAGCTTCGATTGATATATTTTCGTCTACAAGACACTGATTATTAATCTGATGTATGCAGACACGCATGCAAATACTTAATCCAACACCACAAGCCGTCTACACCGGCGTAGGAAACGCAATAACTCGCATCTCTACAACTGAAGGTGTCAGAACATTATGGAGGGGAATAAATTCAGTTATCCTGGGAGCAGGCCCCTCTCACGCTCTGTATTTCGGAACGTACGAGTTTTGTAAAGATATTTTTGGAGGCAATAAGCCAGGTGGACATCATCCGATCGCCGCAGGTAAATTATCGTCTGTGTAGGTGTTGCTTTGTAAGATTAAAAACTATTTGGCAGTTTTTGACAGGCATTGGTCTTTCCACCACAGCTACAGCTGGAGCATGTGCAACCATAGCAAGTGATGCATTAATGAATCCATTTGATGGTAAGCATGAAAGAAATACTATTGCCATTCTATTTTTGCCTTGCTGACACCACATGTATTCTAACTTATCGTCCATCAACCAATAAATAGTAATCAAACAACGGATGCAGATACACGGCTCGACTCACAGAACAGTAATGGAGTGTGCACGCACAGTCTACCTTCGTGAAGGACTAATTGCCTTCTATATATCATATCCTACTACCCTCACAATGACAATTCCCTTCCAAGCGGTGCAATTTTCATCCTATGAGTATTTCCGAAAAGTGATAAATCCCCGCGGAGACTATGATCCCAAAACTCATGTGATCGCTGGTGGATTGGCAGGGGCTATTGCAGCGGCTGCCACAACTCCACTCGATGTTGCCAAGACGTTATTACAGACTAGAGGGACGTCTAATGACCTACGGGTGAGAAATTGCAGTGGACTTTTTGATGCGTTTAGAATCATATATGAGAATCAAGGTCTAAAAGGATTCATAAGGGGAATAAGACCAAGAGTATTGTCACATATGCCAAGTACTGCTATATGCTGGAGTGTCTATGAATACTTCAAATGGGTTATTACGGCCCGAGATAGAGCTCAACTGGCTAGAGCTTATGATTAACAGGTACAGCGTCAAAGTCATAAAGATGTGGTTCTGACTCTATGTGGTGACAATTTGCTTTCTCCTTTCGGTAAACTTGATGTTAAGGTTTATAGTTGTACAATACGTCCCAGACACTTCAGGCGATGACCATAGCAATGGTGTAGTAATTAGTAATGTAAATAATTTGCAGAAAAAATTGCATGAACTATTGGTAGACTCACAAAACGAAACAATAATTTATTATCCCCTATTACTATCTTTCATTAAATCAAACTGGCTTCCCAAGCAATATGTAAATTCCTTTTGAGTTATATATGGTGAGTAATTAATATTACAACGAATTAAATATATCAAATTCCATGACGTGATCCGTAAAATAGTTGCAATTCCGTTTAACCGTGAAAATAATTATAGCAGAGATCATAATATGTGAGGCCCAAAGATAACCTGCTGCACTCTGCAAAACCTGTTTATGATGATACTACCTGCAGATTTCTACATTCATCATGTTGACCTATCAGTCTATTTGCTAGAGACTAAATGCCACCAGATCACAGAACAAATTCTCTAGCAGACATTATAAAACAGCTAAGTTTTAGACGTAATCGCCAACAACAGCACAATAAAATCATCAACTCGATTGTCAAGATTAATAGTTTAATATAAGAAGCATGCAGATTATACGTGAGAATGATAAAATTATATATAGGATTACCCGTATATGAAAAATCTATTTATAACAGTTTCCATCTAATATGAAAAAGCAATACGTTTCTTAGAAATAGGTTGTGATTGTGGTTGTTCAAAAATAATTCCGAGAGAAAAATTTGCCGAATTACGTGAGGCGTTTCAAGCTCTCTCTAGAGCTGAACA